TTTGGCTGCTTCAAGCTGAACCATTTCAAGTTTACCAGAAATATCTGCGGGACAATTATCCCAGACCTCAGAAGCATATTCTCAGATAGGTCTAGCATACATGCTTGATAGAAAGTATGTCATGTCATGTCATCAACTGCTGAAATATCAAATATTATATCTAGGTGGTAGTAGTAGTAGTAGTAGCAGTAGTAGCAGTACAAAGAGGTTTAATTCTCAAAAGCAAATAACACTGTGCTTCTGTGTTTCTGTTGTGTTTATTACTACTGTCTCTAGTACTGACTTGCACTGAAATGGGGTTATCGTTCTTGTTTGAAAAACGCCAATATGCAATGCAAACCGCAATTCGGCTTCTCCCGGAATGACATGAGTTGGCCTATGAAACCCTCTACGTGACTGTTCGTGTGATTCCCATACAAGCGACGGAGGGGTGAAAATGGTGACAAAATGGACGCCATTTTTTGCATAGTAACCGCCTTGACAACGCCTCCGGCGGCCATTTTGAATCAATGTTGAGGTCTGATCAACTTTGTGTTTACAAGCGGGAAATTCAAATATTTACGCTGCGTAAGAGCATAAAAACTATCTCTAAGTTGATTCCTGACATCGTAAAAAGAATATGCGATGGCCTAAAAGATGCATTTTCACCTCAAATACATTAAATGTTACGTTTCGTAAATATATGAAATGTCGACCCAAAAGTCGGAATATTGCGTTAACATGTATGGTGAGAAAATGCAAGAACAAAGTTAAATATATTGTCATACAATGAATTATTGTGTCATAGATTTCACTAGTGCAAAACATAATCAGTATCACACTCTGCACTTTTTGACTTTTGAGTGGCAAACCCTGAATCGACTGTCTCATTTAGAAGACCCGGAAGGTTCGTTTAGAGCTTTGGGAAATGTCATAAAAATGTAATTTTCGCCGTCGCAGGGCTCAAATGAATTGATATGGACCATCTACATACCCGAGACAACTCTCTCGTTCATCTTTGGGGACAATCCGGACACTTGTGAAGATTCAATGGCAAAAGAGAAAACTCTGACAGCGCTTCAATGTATCTCTGATGAGTGACAAGGAAACAGTGGAGCGGGTTTCTTTGACAACACCTTTTATCTACAACGCGCGGACGTGTGAGAAGACATGCGTAGCTAAGCAACGCCATAACAATGGAGCATTGTCTTAGCACATGATCGCAAACCACTGTTTTTCGAGCTTAGATTTTTAACAGCGCGTCAAAATGTAATATCAATGAACCATCTTTCTTTTCTAATAAAAAACAATACACTTATATGTTGCTTACAGTTATTTATTACTTGCTGAATTAAATCAACTGACTGTGTTTTAGATTGGAGTTCAAACTACTGGAGGTAAACAAACGATAATTGCTGATTTCTGTTTCTTCATCGTCATGATCGTGTATATTTCAAAAAAAGCATCACGCTCTCGCCATTGCCCTAATATTGGAGTCAAGTATGCAAGTTTCGGATTAGTCATTTGATGTTTGTCTGTGCAAACTATTTCTGTAATGATTGTCTTACATTAATTTGATACAGTGTAAATCTTAAAGAATCAGGATCACTTTTACACTTGAACATTTCCCCAAATTTGTGTAATTTTAGAATCGTTGTCTGTGTGGCCGATGTAGTTCTTTGTGTATATTTCTTTTAAAATCCATATATTTTACATAAATTTCTTTATAAAAAAAATAGCTGTCAGTCCGCTGAGTTTTACCAATCAGCAATAACACTATATGTGTACTTCTGGGTCACTTGCCCCAAGCCGAAAAACACCATTGGCCAAGCTAACACCTATTGTTAAACTGCAAGTTTTGTTCACTCTACAAATCTATCAGCTCATCACACAACTGCTCAGGTCAGTAAAAGGGACGAGTTGGGATGAAAAATAAAGAAAGTTAAATATCCATTATCTATATATTGTATTGTATTGCAATAATACAGTATGTTTGCACTGTCTCTTTGAGTAAACTAAATGTATGTAGATATAGCCTTCGGATATAGCCGAATATTGGCCTTCAGTAACCCATGCTTGTCGTAAGAGGCGACTAACGGGATCGGGTGGTCAGGCTCGCTGACGTGGTTGACACATATCATCGGTTCCCAATTGCGCAGATCGGTGCTCATGCTGTTGATCACTGGATTGTCTGGTCCAGACTCGATTATTTACGGACTGCCGCCATATAGCTGGAATATTGCTGAGCGCGACGTAAAACAAAACTCACTCACTCACTAGATATAGGCCCAAAATAGCTTATGACTGATTTCATAAAAAATATTTACATACAGTATCTATATTTTGCTAGTGAAGAAATGGACGTGTGCAAGTATTGTCTTATTTTTAGAATGTTTAATCAAGTTTGTGAAACATGAAAATTTAGATATAATGGATGCGAATCTTTGTGAATAGTATACGTGCATTATTGTGTTATATTTAGTCTACATGATCTATGTGTATCATCCTTCAGGTCTAATAAGTGGAGCAGTTGAGATCACACCCTTGTATTACTTACAGGGTAGGCATTATTTACACTTGAGCAAGACCTGGGCCTCCTTTTACAAAGCACTAAGGTGATCGTATGTCACTTAGGTAACCTTAGTGCATTGTTAAAGGAAGGGAGTTAAGATTAACCTTAGTGAAGGTTGCTGCGTGAAAGGAGCCCCTAGGACTTATCTCCATGTTGTAATCATGTTCAATGCCATACAACATATCGTTCTGTATCAAGTCTTTGAACAACATGTCAAGTACAGCGTACCTATACTTCGTATCAGAGTCAGTCTGTTCTATTTATTTGATTACATAATATTGTATTATGCAGCATGTTTACAGCTGTATATATTATTGCTTCAGTGCAGGCCTAAATATAGTATTGTTAAAGGATGACTGGTATGTTAAACGCAGTACCCAGTCAAAGAGACTGACATGGTCTTGTATTTGAGAAAACACATGATCTGGATTCTAAAAAACAAATTTTGGTTTTCAAACAGTGACACTGAGTAGCTGGTAGTGGGGCTCAACACATTCTCGTTTTCGAAATATTTAGATGTATTCTTCTAATTTCCTTGGCACTTTGACCATGTTCCTCAGTTGTGTTAAAGTGCAAACATCTCACCAGGACATATATGCCGCGCATACGCCAGTCATACTGAAACCTACTTAGTAGTAGTGAAATTTGGTAAATGCATGGTTAAACATCTTAAAAATATTTGCAACTTGGTTTGGTTTTCTGGTTTTCACTCTTACATGATCTCGGATATGTACCTCTGGTCTACCCAGAGAGCTGAAATTTGATGAATAATGGTGACAAAATGTTTTGGGTAGTCATTTGTTTTGGCTCTTAGTATTAAAGATGGAATTATTTTATAACCAATGTTGACAACAGTTTCTGTGTAGTTGCGGTCATTTACATTTGAAACCCCTGACGAGGTTCTGTGTAGTTGCTGTCTTTTACATTTGAAACCCCTGACGAGGTTCTGTGTAGTTGCTGTCTTTTACATTTGAAATCCCTGACAAGTTTCTGTGTAGTTGCTGTCTTTTACATTTGAAACCCCTGACAAGTTTCTGTGTAGTTGATGTCTTTTACATTTGAATCTCCTGACAACAGTTCCTGTGCAGTTGCTGTCTTTTACATTTGAAATTCCTGACAACAGTTTCCGTCTTTTACATTTGAAACCCCTGACAAGTTTCTGTGTAGTTGCTGTCTTTTACATTTGAATCTCCTGACAACAGTTCCTGTGCAGTTGCTGTCTTTTACATTTGAAAGCCCTGACAACTGTTCCTGTGTAGTTGATGTCTTTTACATTTGAATCTCCTGACAACAGTTCCTGTCTTATACATTTGAAAGCCCTGACAACAGTTTGTGTAGTTGATGTCTTTTACATTTGAATCTCCTGACAGTTCCTGTGCAGTTGCTGTCTTTTACATTTGAAAGCCCTGACAAGTTTCTGTGTAGTTGCTGTCTTTTACATTTGAAATTCCTGACAACAGTTTCCGTCTTTTACATTTGAAACCCCTGACAAGTTTCTGTGTAGTTGATGTCTTTTACATTTGAATCTCCTGACAACAGTTCCTGTTGATGTTCTTTTTGAAAGCATTTCACATTTGAAAGCCCTGACAAGTTTCTGTGTAGTTGATGTCTTTTACATTTGAATCTCCTGACAACAGTTCCTGTCTTTCACATTTGAAAGCCCTGACAACAGTTCCTGTGCAGTTGCTGTCTTTTACATTTGAAAGCCCTGACAACAGTTCCTGTGTAGTTGATGTCTTTTACATTTGAAACCCTGACAACAGTTCCTGTGTAGTTGATGTCTTTTAAATTTGAAACCTCTGACATTTGTCTTTTACATTTGACTTTCCTGACAACAGTTCCTGTCTTTCACATTTGAAAGCCCTGACAACAGTTCCTGTGCAGTTGCTGTCTTTTACATTTGAAACCCCTGACAACAGTTCCTGTGTAGTTGATGTCTTTTACATTTGAAACCTCTGACAACAGTTCCTGTGTAGTTGCTGTCTTTTATATTTGAAACTCGTAAGATTCAGCTGAACTGCAGGGCAGGGTTATTAGATTCAGATTTCTTAAAAAAACAGTAACAAAAACCCAGCTGACATACATGTAGTTGTGAGATATATATTCATTGGGCTGGCATAGTTTGGTAGTCTCATGTTTGGTTGGTAGCTACTGAATTGTCCAGTAATCTATCTGAACATGTTAGTTTGATTTGGACCGATTCAAATAAATCAGATAAAAAAATCTGTTTTTGTTCTATAAATACCCTTCATCATATGAGCATCTTTGTATCTGTTACTAAGAACACCCTTGTCATTCACATTTATGTTCCTCCAATTGGATGCACGTTGTGATTCCATGTTCTGAAATATTGCAGAAAACATCTTGGGGCTCATGCATTACAATGTACTATCTGAGCAAATGCCAGGATCTGTCAAATCTTGTTAGAAAACACAACAAAACCCCCAAAGCCAAATATCCAATGTATTTATTCATATATATTTCTCAATCACAGTATTATACATCATTGTTGCATTAGATTAGTAAACAATAGTTTATTATATCCAACTCCTAATTATGTAAGCAAAATGATGAATAATCTTTGGAGTCCACTTTAGACCCAACAGACATGATGAGAGCAGCAGCACTTGTACATAAATGCAACACTCAAATTTCTGTTTGCTTCAAATCCACAATCCTTTAAGTTCAGAAACACAACAAAATCCATGAAAAAATTCTCAAATGCAACTGAAAACTACATGTTGGCACACTGGATAAGTCAAAATATTATACTGACAACGATGGCTTGTTTCGAAAAAAAAAGGAGGAAAAACAAACAAACAAAAAACTATGAATTATTGTTTGATTATTCAGGGTTAAAAGGTTAGAAGTGTAATTTTTTTGGTAAAAAAACCCACAAAAACATTTGGACTAAAAAATATTTCTGATCATGGAAGGTAATGTACTGTACTAAGTTATAATGTAGACCAAGAAGCTGCAGACTATCACAACCCTACAGCCGCCACATTTTCTCACCCAATAGCATGACGTGGCCAGTCTTGTAACATTTCCACATAACAACTGTTGGAATCTTAAATGCAACGCCATTCAAGGAATGAAACAATTCCAGACTGCTAAAACAGTGTTACAAGGTAACTCCTCTCACAATGACACAATAAATAACCAACCATTCACCAATAAAGTGGAATAAATCGTAACCATGTGACTACAAGATGAAGTAATGTCAGTGTAACAGTCACTCAGTGAACACTAACATAATATTGGGTTGATATATGTCAGAGTATGATGCGTACATAAATGAAAGACATCTACCAAATGAAAGAAAATGGTGAACAGAAAGGAGACGATTGTGACAAAGCACATCGGAGAGTAACAAATATCATAATTATTCTCATTTACAAAGAAAATTCACTTTTTCATTATGCATTCTGCCTATTGACCATACTCGGTGAAATTAGCAATCAGATACTTTTAATTTTTCAGATGATTCAGGCCTTGAAAAAAATGCTTATCATCAACAAATCCAGAATCCTATTTCCAATAACCTGCACCGGACTTCTTTATTAGAAGGCAGAAAACTATTTCAAACATGTCAGCAAACATGGCATGATACTTAAGGCAAGGAAAGACAGGTCTTCTAATGAAATCTAAACCATCTTAATTCTTACACAAAATGATGTGAAACAGAATCATTCAAACAACATGTTGTAAACAAATGGCACGATGAGAAGCATTTTAAAATTTTCATTATCTTACTCAACACTTAGCAAGACACGTAACCAAGCATCATCTCACCCGTCACACATATACCCCCACCTACTGCAGTAGTAAGAAGCTGCTGGACTATTGGTAGTGATGACCCTTCTCAGTGACAAGGGGCATTGAATGACTGACAAGAGAACTGACAAGGCTCCACCCTATTGCAGTGCTAATTGCATAGAATAAGGGAGGTTCCCACTGTGCTCAATAAGCTGCCTGAAAGGAAATCACAAACAGACAGAAATATATCCCTGAATAAACTCAAAAGCATATCAACCTCCCAAAAGTAGGAAATTTATTTTTATTGGTAAAGACACATACCCAATCAAATTATTCCAAAATACAATCTAATAAAACATTCATTGGGTTAATCCCAATACTCTTGAATCACAATTCATTTACTGAATGATAAATCTGAGAATTTGAAACAATTATTGTCCTAAAATTAATGTTACTGCAGACGGTTTGTCCAATAGGAAAATTTATTTAATAATTTCAAAGATGACTGCATGATAGGCCATTATTCTTCCAAACTGTTGTGAAACCAACATGTTGATAGCTGTTAAACCAGGAGACGACAAAAAACGTGTACATCAGTTATTATGCTACAATATCACAATCTATTCATGATGAATACTGAAAATAATGAAATGGAAGTGATAGACAGATATAGATCAAACCTGTACATGAACAGACATTGGGGACAAAAAAAAGAAAAAGGCGGGGTTCGGGGTTGAACAGTATCACGGCTGAAATTTGAATATTAGAGAAGCATAGTTGTCAAACTTTCAGTTCTAGGTCTCAATTGTGAATACCAACCACAATAATTAGACATAATAAGTTATTGCCCATAGTCAGTTCAAGATGAACATCACATAAAGCTATAAACCTTCATTCAAAGCCATTTTCAATGCATAAACAATGATAATTAACATACTTTTTCAAAGGTTAGGATATCCTTAAGTGATTTCACAGTGACTGAACTTGGTGATGTGCTATATGTTACATGATACAGCAAAAAGTCCCACACAGAATCTATTTAGACAGTGACAATAATTATACAAAAATAAACTCCTAAATATACAATATGCTGGCCAAATGGATGGACACAGACCAAGGTTGTACACTTGCCATCTCACACATGCATCCTTTAACTGAACAAAAACTGTTGACAATGTGCCATGCTTACGTTACAAAGCTGCTGACAAGCAAGATGGTGCAACTCAGATGTCATCTTCATCCTGATCATCATGAGTTGGGTCAAATAAATTAAGTAACAATAAGATGACACAATAAGGCATATCTGAATGTCAATCTACCTGACTATTTATCACTAACACTTCCATGTGTGCTTATATTTACCGTAAGTACAAACATTCTGATTCAAGGGCTAGGAAGTGCCCCACACTCAAGTCCAATAACATACACTTTCTACGGTTCACTTCAAAACTGAAAATAATGCCATGCAAGCAATACTTTGCTTGTATGACGATGTAGCTACAAGTGAAGCTACTTTCTTATTGCAAACAAATGTACCACCTATCTCCCACCAGCAACAATGACAATTTCAAACACTTTCAAGTGAAAATATTCTAAAGATTCCAAAAGTTGAGCGGACCGAGAAGACTTGTGCATGTTTTGTCCAAAGACATTGTTACCATGGTAACAAAGCCACAGACTCAGAGGAAGATGTCAGCCAGAGTTTCATGAGAATTACATCCATGTTAGGGGCTCCACTGACAAGTTCACAGGCCCTGGACAAGGAAAGTGACTGGTTCTCATGAAATTGGCCAGTTGCTATGTACAAGTATAGGTCATCACACAGCGACAAAAATAGAGCTATATGTTCACTCTCATACAGTATAACATTCACACAACACACCCTTCTTGACAGACATGCACAGTATCAGCTGACAGCTTCTCCCACATCTCTATGCATGATACTGTACATTAATGCATACATTAGTATAGCTAGGTTGGCATGGAAACAGGAGGACCCAGTAAAGATTAATATACACACAAGTATCTCAAGTGATAGTACCAGTAAATTCCATCTCTGTGTTCTAATTGATCTGTCTGGATGGATTGATAAGGCAGTAATGTTGGAGAGGATGAGCTGTTAGATTAGGGCCTGAGAAAAGCAATACTTAGTGCAAATGGGACAGTGTTCAGGGTAACGGACGAATAAATTTCCAGGAAGCTTTGTTACCAAGGATACAGAGAGGAACTGCCAGGATTGAGCAGAGACCACTGGTTTCCCACACCAGAAGACTTTAGCGAGGGATTCCTGACATCTAACACATAGTTATCAATTCCTCGCAGACCATGTCATGCCAAAAGATGAAGAATATCAAAACAACAAGGAGGAGGAGGTTAAGGGTTTCCACAGTTGATTTCTGACAAGCGAAAATGCTAAAAGACCAATTCATTTCAGAGGAAGATACTCCACAGCCCACTGAATTACTCTGACCCTAGGACCTATCTTCACCAGTGCAGGGAGACACCACAGCCCACTGAATTACTCTGACCCTAGGACCCATCTTCACCAGTGCAGGGAGACACCACAGCCCACTGACAGAACTGGGAACAACTTAAGTGACCAATGCATAGATTCACCTGTGTTCATAGACTTGCTTGGCAACTAAGAATGCACCGATGTACAGGCGTAACAACTGAGAAAATTGAGTGTGTCCAATGCAGGGATGCAGTAGAATTTTATTGACACCATCACGCATGCCCAAAGCTATCTTCCACAAAATAATTCTAGCATAAAACTCTTGTATCACCAGTGCTTAGCTAAGACAACACTGTCTTTTGTGGAATTGGAGCTTAATCAAATTGCTAAATAGTAAATGTATCCTTCTCTTACCCAGATGAGCCCTGACTTTCAACTGAGGACATTCAACTGAGACAAGCCTCTCCACCACATCATCTGCTAAGAATGACAGAGTCAGAGACCAACACTCAGTGTCCCACAGAACATGTGTCGCCCACTGGCAAACTGAACACCGATTTCCACAACTATAGCATTGGTGTCAAGACCAGACATAACTTTAGTGACGTTTCTTCTTCCTCCGCGCTCGTTTTCCCCCTGCAGCTGACGTCGATGATGACCCTGCTCCCCATGCCGATGACGTCTGAGGCTGCTGACTTGACTGTTGTTGCTGTTGTTGTTGCTGTTGTTGCCATGGTGAGGAACCATCAGGAGACATAGACGCCTTGTGAAACAAGTGGTTGATGAAATCCTCCAAATCATGCTCTCTGCATATATAAGGGAAATGAAATGACAATCAAAAAACATTTTGACTTGGTTTGTTTATTATTAAACACTGCACTGTGTAGTAATCCAGCCATACGACAGCGAAGTGCAAATAATCGAGTCTGGACCAGACAATCCAGTGATTGACATCATGAGCATTGATCAACGCTATCTGGATACATGCATCAACCTAGTATTAAAGCCTGACCACAAGGTCCTGTTCATCACCTCATACAAGTATGGGTTGCTGGAGACGAATTCTAACCCGTATCTTCACAGGTTTTTGATTCAGTACAAGAAAGACAAAGAGAAACAGAATATGTATGAAATTTTGCTTTAGCAATGATAGCTGACACTGACACATTCTCATTCACCTGTACCAAACTATAACATTTCCTTGGTGATTATCACAAATCCTTCCACCCACATAGGACTGTAGCTACCCTGTAGACCTACCCAGTCTTGCCATGGTACTGACTTCATAATCTTCCACCCACACAGGACTGTAGCTACCCTGAAGACCTACCCAGTCTTGCCATGGTACTGGCTTCACAACCTTCCACCCACACAGGACTGTAGCTACCCTGTAGACCTACCCAGTCTTACCATGGTACTGACTTCACAACCTCCCACCCACACAGGACTGTAGCTACCCTGTAGACCTACCCAGTCTTACCATGGTACTGACTTCACAACCTCCCACCCACACAGGACTGCAGCTACCCTGTAGACCTACCCAGTCTTGCCATGGTACTGACTTCACAACCTCCCACCCACACAGGACTGTAGCTACCCTGTAGACCTACCCAGTCTTGCCATGGTACAGACTTCACAACCTCCCATCCACACAGGACTGTAACTACCCTGTAGACCTTACCCAGTCTTACCATGGTACGGACTTCACAATCTTCCAACCACACAGGACTGTAACTACCCTGTAGACCTACCCAGTATTGCCATGGTACTGACTTCACAATCTTCCACCCACATAGGACCGTAGCTACCCTGTAGACCTACCAAGCCTTGCCATGGTACTGACTTCACAACCTCCCACCCACATAGGACTGTAGCTACCCTGAAGACCTACCCAGTGTTGCCATGGTACAGACTTCACAACCTCCCACCCACACAGGACTGTAGCTACCCTGTAGACCTACCCAGTCTTACCATGGTACTGACTTCACAACCTCCCACCCACATAGGACTGTAGCTACCCTGAAGACCTACCCAGTCTTGCCATGGTACTGACTTCACACCCTCCCACCCACATAGGACTGTAGCTACCCTGAAGACCTACCCAGTCTTACCATGGTACTGACTTCACAACCTCCCACCCACACAGGACTGAAGCTACCCTGTAGACCTACCCAGTCTTACCATGGTACTGACTTCACAACCTCCCACCCACACAGGACTGTAGCTACCCTGTAGACCTACCCAGTCTTGCCATGGTACTGACTTCACAACCTCCCACCCACATAGGACTGTAGCTACCCTGTAGACCTACCCAGTCTTGCCATGGTACTGACATCACAACCTTCCACCCACACAGGACTGTAGCTACCCTGTAGACCTACCCAGTCTTGCCATGGTACTGACATCACAACCTTCCACCCACACAGGACTGTAGCTACCCTGTAGACCTACCCAGTCTTGCCATGGTACAGACTTCACAACCTCCCACCCACATAGGACTGTAGCTACCCTGTAGACCTACCCAGTCTTACCATGGTACTGACTTCACAACCTCCCACCCACACAGGACTGTAGCTACCCTGAAGACCTACCCAGTCTTGCCATGGTACTGACTTCACAACCTCCCACCCACATAGGACTGTAACTACCCTGTAGACCTACCCAGTCTTGCCATGGTACTGACTTCACAACCTCCCACCCACACAGGACTGTAGCTACCCTGTAGACCTACCCAGTCTTGCCATGGTACTGACCTCAAAACTTTCCACCCACACAGGACTGTAGCTACCCTGTAGACCCACCCAGTCTTGCCATGGTACTGACTTCACAACCTTCCACCCACACAGGACTGTAGCTACCCTGTAGACCTACCCTGACTTCCCATGGCGATGACCTCGGTTTCCATCTGTAGCTATCCTGTAGAAAACGTGGTGAGAGTTGGCCTGCATCTGCTTGAAAAACTCCTTCTGCAATACGAAGGACATGCATCAAGATGATTCTCTTGTGTTTATTCAGCACGAACATACCATTACCAAACCACTGCCCAGAACCTCCTAAGCTCTTACCCATACCAACCTCAAAGTATATTCTCAGGGCTTGAAACTAACATCTGCTTCTACCTGGTGTACGGCCTTGGCAGTCACTCAGTAAGGGTTAAGGAAGGCAAAAATATTTATTACAGAATATTAGGAAATACACAACTGGGTAAAGAAGGCTTTGACCCAAAAGCATTGTAGACATTTTCTGCCAACAGATGATAACTGTAAACTGCTAAAAGGATAATCATGACATTTGAGTTAGCAGATAAACAAAGCTGGCTTTCAGAAAATTGGATCAAACTTGCAAGGACTGCCAATCGCCCAAAGGTCCTCTTTAAAACCTCTGAGATTTCTATGTGACGCAAAACCAGAGGACATTGGTCCCCAATCTGTTTCCCAGGCGAGAGTGCAACTCACATGACACGCCACCCACTCTGTTATATCATACACGTGTTGATCCATACATGCGTAGTAGTGCCACAGAAAACCTAACATCTTCTTCTCTGCCCACACATCTCCCTGCAAAATAACAAACATGTAACACTTTTGTTTCAACCAGACATCATTTCCCCCCACAGTTTCAGCCAAACAGCTGAAAAACACTAGTAACATGAACCATTCCATTGTCACGACACATCTCAGAGTGATTGTTTCACTATATGTATGATCTCTGTTCCCATCACATCAGATCCGGGTTAGAATTGATCTTCAGTAACCCATGCTTGTAGTAGGAGGCTGAGTGCGGCGTAAAACTAAACTCACTCAGTCACCCAGTCACATCTCGACTGCATTGGTCCTGATCAGCATTGAATTAATTTAATTAAAATAACAGTTTTCCCATAATTGCCCTTGAGTATTCTTTTCATGAATACTTGCTTTTTCATTCTCTCTTCATGACATACAATATCAGGCTTGAAGTAAATGAGCGAGTTCAGTTTTAAGCCACACTCAGTAATATTCCAGCTATATGGTGGCAATCTGTATATAATCGATTCTGGACCAGACAGTCCAGTGATCAACAGCATGAGCATCATTCTACGCAATTGGGATACAATGACATGGGTCAACCAAGTCAGTTAGCCTGACCACCCGATCCCATTAATCACCTCTTACGACAAGCATGGGTTAATGAAGATCAATTCTAAAACGGTCAGCTATTTAACAGATATTGATTACAGAATAAGAGAAATTGAAAATGGTTTCACACCCTTGGGAACACCTGAAATGGGCTTTCCACATTACCCCTGCTGAAAATCGAACCCAGGCTAGCTATACTCAAAACGTTCGTAGCCCTACGAACTCCTTAAGCCTATTCTGAGCAGGTCAGGAATGTTTACCTCTTGTTGTATACAGCAGGGGTTCAATTTTTTTGTTAAAAACCCACTTGCCACAGGGCAAGTGACTTTAAGAAAGTAACTTGTCCTGACTAATTTTCCACTTGCCCTGATTTTATGACATAATTATGATGATGTAATTATGAAAGAAGAAATCAACATGGTATTTGATGTTAATGTTTACTGGACTATTTATTGAAAAGTGATAAATAGCCAAGAAATATAACTCTACTTTATTATCATTGCGAAATTTAATAGCTACATTTTGAGCAGATATGAAATTAAATCAAAGTTTATTTGCAGTTTGAAACCATAAGTGGAAATTATCTAGTAGCCCACGGACAAATAAGATACCATTATTTGATTGCCCGAAATGAAAACTGACTTGTCCCGGGCGTCGGGCGATGGGATTTTTGAACCCCTGTACAGACATGTATAAACATTTACACACAAAACCTAGATTTCTCACCTCTTTGGCAGAATGAAAGTTGTTACATCTATCACAGAATCGAACGCTGTACCATGGTCGATCAACTGGAATACGCTTATGTTTGCCCCCACAGTTATCACACCTCATCATGTTGGCAGCCTGGAACAGTCACACCACAAGGTAGGAGTTTGGCCATGTTAACAAGATACATGAACTTATTTGGTACATTTTCTTTTTACTTGATCTGCAAAATGTGGAAATCTTACAGGAAAGCAGCAAGAAAGACCTCAGAAGTAACCATAGCTCGAGTTGGTTGTTTGACACAATATTCAAGCTATATGACTGCAACAAGTGATTTTAAACATTAGAAATTAGAACATGAGAATTTTTTTGACCCAAACTAATCCTCTTTGGGGACTGAACAACCACACAGTGTAAACTTCAACATTGTTCACAGACAGTGGTTAAATTTTGGACGAGGACACTCATCTCATAATGGTCCACAAATTAAGAATTTACTGAAATGGTCCACAGACAATTTTGGGGAAGAAGACCCCACCATTTTGTCCACCACAGACTGCTTGTGTAACTCCTCTTTCCCAGCAGTACCAGGACACACATCACACTCCCTGCTGTCAAACACTTCCCGGATAACTCAGTCTGAAGTGCACACGCTCATGTCAACTTTTCACATCTTACCTCTTGTATCTTTTCATGAAGTTTTGTCAGAAGATCGTTGAATTCTCTCTGAAATATAATTGAAATTGCCACAAACTACATGGGTTTCTCCCAATGTGCCTTCACACATGTACAAATATTTTCATAAATAACAGACTGTTGCTTGCAAAAATGATTCATTGTATCACTGAAGTTATTGAAATGCGTGTCTTATTTCACCAGAAACACAAATATCGCTGTGACAATGTTATTTTAAATCCTTTTACATCTTTAAAAGCATGATTGAGCGTCTTGGCAAGGCTCACCAAAATTACTACTTCTTGTAACTGAATGCCAAGTAATATGAAGTTTATATATGCATCAAATGTTTATTCTTTGTAAGAGTACGACACTTATACGACTTAAATCTTGAATCAAACTTCAATGCATTACTAATGCAAATGCAGATATACAATGAAAACTATGGCCAGATGGAATTGATTATTTACAGACTGCTGCCATTTAGCGTACTCCAGTATTGATTTGTTGACAAGCTTTTTCTGGGTTTATGATAATATCTGCACGCTGAGAAACAAAATTAGAGCTTGTTATAAGTGTGTATTATCCACGCACTGGGAGTCAAAAACTACATTCTAAAATACCCTATGAATTTTGAATCTGTTCGATATTAAACCTAATACATGTACTTTGTGGTATTTTTATAATCACAATTAATATATTCAATGTTTTTATAGTGACTGTACAATAGTAAAAAAGAATTAATAATAATTCACTGGATATTGAAACAAATTGGCAAAGTGAACATAAAAACATATTCACATCTGTTTCTGAAGCAAATACATCTGGTGAGCTGATTGTTTAGCATGAATGTATTATTTGTGCTCCTGATAGTATATATTGACTGACTGACTGAGTTTAGTTTTACAGCTCTTTTATAAATATTTCAGCAATATCACGACGGGGAACCCCAGAAATGGGCTTCACACATTGTACCCATGTGGGGAATCAAACCCGGGTCTTCGGCCTGACGAGCGTATGCTTTGACCACTAGGCTACCCCACAACCCCTGATAGTATATACTGTACATACAGCATACACTGGATAACATTAAGTACGGTTCTGTGAATGTACAAGTGTTTGAAAGCTTGGTCTGCCTGAAGAGTTACCATAGTGACTAATAACAAACTGCTAGGATGTATGGATAAAGTTACCAGCATCAATGAAAATTTTATGCCCTTTTCAATGCTGAGAAAAATAAACAAAAATCAAACAAATCTGACCAAATGAGTGCACCATTTTTTCAAAAGCTATTGCCCGAGACCCAATTCTTTTTATTTTTTAAGTCTTATATACCTGGTACAAGGTAGAAATATATATGAAATCTACAAAGTATTACAGTGTTTTACAGTTTTTGCTGGTCCATGCTTATAATCACCAGTTTGAGCATTGTTCTCAGTGTGAGTGAGAGTGAGTGAGTGAGTGTGACTTCACACAGTGTGCCCATGTGGGGAATCGAACCAGGGTCTTCGGCGTGACGAGCGAAGGCTTTAACCACTAGGCTACCCCACCGCCCCATTCTCAGTGTGAAGGCTCTGTGAAGTTTGTTTTGTCATGCCAAAGGGTTTCACAACCAATAAAACATGATACCTCCTTGACACATGAGAAATCAAGTGTGAAATGACATCCCAAACTGAAGGCACTCAGCCACATATCAGTGAGTTGCTTGTTGATAGCTCCAGCAGGAGATCCACCTACCATTGCAGCCTCAGCCTCGTGAGCCTCCTGCATCTGAGCATCATAGACCTTCCTCTTGGCCTGCAAGAACAAATACAACATCAACATGCTGCTTCAAGGAAGGAGCTGTGCCAGGCAGTCCAATTCTTAAACAGAGTGGATACATCTAAAAAATTTGACAAGCTTGTCATTAGCTTCAACATTTATGGTCTGTTTCTATATATCTGTTACTTCGTTAAATTTGAATGACCTTAACAATGGACACCAATGAAATCAGTCACAAATCAGGCCCAATAGAGTGAATAAATGCATATGGTGCACTGTAAACAACTCACTGGTTCTCGTATCATCTCAAAGGCATGACCTAATATCTTGAAGGCTTCTTCAGCACCAGGTTCCTGATTCTGCAACACCATTATTCCATGACTAGAGTACATGACAAATATAACTATGATATCACTAACTAACATGTTATGGGTAATCTAATCATCTGTTATATGATGCCATCACACAGTCTACTGGAAAAGATATAAGGTAATTTATCTATTTAACACCAGAATAAACAATGATTGCCAAATCAAAAGCCTTTTTTGCAAGTTCAAGGCATTTTAAAACAGACAGTGAGTGAGTATGGTTCTATGCCGTTTTTAGCAATATTCCAGCAATATCATGGCGGGGGACACCAGAAATGGGCTTCACACATTGTACCCATAAGGGGAATCGAACCAGGGTCTTCGGCTTGACGAGCTAACGTTTTAAGTACCCCATCATCCTAAAAAGGCAGACTGAAATGGCTTCAAGGCTGGACTGCCAAAGTCTTGGACTTTTAAACTTGTCTTCATATTATTTTGGTATTGACTCGCCCAATGTTAACTAGAGTGCTGACCTTATCTGGGTGGACTAGCACGGCCTGGCGGCGGTAATACTTTTTGATATCTTCATCACTGCTATCAGAGCGTAATCCTAAAATACTGAAAACAGAAGGAGGACAGATTAACAAACAGGAAATGCACTTGGATCTGTCTTTAGAATAGTAACAGCTTTCTTGCGAAAGTACATGAAACATAGTTGAAATGACTCCCAGTACAAGTGACACATACTGAGACTACACTGAAACAGTGGTGCCTGCCTTTTATTTTTGTGTCTATGAAGCTAAGAGCGAGTCAGCTATGGTTTTATGCAGCTATCAGCAATAGTCCAGCAACTTCAAGGCAGGAAACACCAGAAATGGGCTTCACACATTGTACCCATGAGGGGAATCTAACCAGGGTCTTCAGCTTGACAAGCAAACGCTTAAACCACTAGGCCACCCTACAGCCCCTATAAAGCTGAGAAAACCAGCAAGCCAGGAAATATAATATCATGTAAACAATCCAGCCTGCTGGTCGCCACATGCTTCCCACCTTGTCAAGGGCTCCTTACCTATAAGGGTCTTTTCCTCTACAAGCAAGAAGTCGTCTCATGGCTTCCTCTCCTAGAACAGAACAACACATGGCTAAAACATTCCATTCCACAATTGGGGATGACAAGACTTTATGGATGATCAACTTCTTTATTTTGACAATGGTGACGTTTCGATATAGATTCTTATACCGTTTTCAAGCATGTGTCTCTGTATAACTTCATGCTTGAAAACGGTATAAGAATCTATACCGAAATGTCTTGTCATCCCTATACCACCAACTTCTAGAATGCCACTCAAACAAATCATTCCACAATTACAATGATATCTGTAGGAACATATTTTAGTAATCAATTCATAAATAAGCAGTAAGCCATGGCTCTCATTTCAGTTACCTCCCTTTCATATGCTGGCTAATGTTCTAATGCATATCACTATTTCTTGGTGTAGATACTTAAATATTTTCCCTGTGTAAAAAATTCGAACAAACCTGTAGAGGTTTCTGTTTCTTTGAAGAAAGTCCTCCTTGGGGTACATATAAGCATCAAAATGTCCATTTTACAATCCTACGACAGTTGTAACAATATTTTAATAATAAATATTTACAAAACAACCGCACACGCGGTTCAGCTAATCGGTACGGATGAACGCGCTCGGACGGCTCTAAATAGTCGCTGAGCAGATCTCCACAATGGGCAGTGCCACAGCATACGCCTTTGGTGTGGTCACTGCCCTAACCGAATGAGTTTACAACCCATCTGGAGAATTAAACCCATGGGAATATAGCCCAAACAATGGCAGAGACAAGACACCTTGAGATGGTTTGCTTGTTCGCCGAAATGCCAGCCGTACCACTGCCATAACACTAGAACAGCTGAACATGTGATACATTTGACCATTTTCTAAATGGCATTATGTAACCATAGCAGAACAGTTGTTTATCCTTTACGGATAGACACAGTTCTTGTGATATAAACCTTAAGATTCATATGGACATCTAAGACGTCGTAGAGAGGTACCGGACAAAGGAGGCTGAGTAAAAGCCGGAGAGCGATAGGCGCCGTTACGTGAAAGGAGCCTGCGAACCTAGGGCTACAAGAGTCTGGCAAATTAATGCTGACCCTATCCCTGTGAAAGACGGTCAGCTCAGGATCCGCTGATATTGCATGAATGTCGCCGACCCATCTGCCAGACAATACCGTCACAAGGAAAGCTGCCTTCCAACTTAACAGCTGGAGAGAGAGCCGACAAATCAAAAAAGAAAAGACCGGACATCTAATCAAGAACGATTGACAAGTCCCACGGGGGACTAATCCGCCGGAGAGCTGCACAATGTGTGTGTGTGTGGTGTGTGTGTGCCCCGAGAGTACACTATCGGCAGGTGTGTGAAAAGCAGAAATAGCCGTGGAGTATACTCTGACTAAATCTGTAGGAAAAGGGATCGAGAATCGTACTGCCGACACATCAGTGCGCACAACACTGCCCCCACACTGAACATTTGTCGAATCCCTCCGCGAAGCCAGAAATTGTCTGCAACTAGTGCAAGAATTATGTTCGCTTGGAGGCGATTCCGGACAGTGGCCAAGGATCCTGGGATTCAGTTGGGGCGCTCCGCTTGGGATAGCAGATTTGGTTGAATGGGTAATGGAACAAGAGGCTGAGTCAGCAACATGATTATTACCGTAAACTGGCTTTGCGCTGACCAAAGATGTACAAGCAGTACAAGTAGTCGAGCTGCGAGAGAACCCTGGGAATCAGGTGTATCGGTGGAAACACCCACAGAACCCTGTCCATCCAATTGAGCTTCAGATCCGGAATCCGGGAGCAAAGACCGGTATTTGGTTTGTCACCCCAGAGGCAAACAGATCCACCCGTAACAACCCGTACAACCGGGAGGCAAACCTGAATATTCCCTGATCGAGCATCCACTCGTGAAAGGCTAGTACACCCTGTGAGAGTGCATCTGCACTAACGTTGTCTACCCCTGGGAGATACAGTGAGTTTGTTTTTACGCCACTTTAAGCAATGTACCAGTAACATCACAGCGGGGGACACCAGAAATGGGTTTCACACATGGTACCCATGTTGGGAATTGAGCCTGGGTCTTCAGCCTGACGAGCGGACGCTGTAACCACTAGGCTATCCCACGGCCCCTAGGAGAGCATATGGCGAACTGGACTCACCAGAGCAGAAACTGCCATGCCTCCTGCAGGAGAGACAGCATACAGCCCTGCTTGGGCCATTGCCGTCTGTTGTCTATGTATTGACGAACCACACGGCTTCAAACCTGGTCCACAAAGTGTTTGAATACCAGCCTGACTGCTCTCAATTTCAGCACATTTATGTGCAGGCTCTCCTTGTTCTCTGACCAAAGGCCTAAGACAGTCAGGTCGCCAAGAACCCCGCCTAGCTTGTGAGGGAGGCATCCGTTTGACTCATGATCGATGGCGTCGGGTTTCCCCTGGGTAGATTCCCGGCGTCTGTCCTCTTCGAGTGAGGAACCAACCACTCTGAATGTGGAAAACGCTCTCGCAGCTCTCCGAGTGAGACCACAGCTGTGCTACTGTCTGCTGCAAAGGTCGCATCCTCGGACGCGCACGCCAGATAATGACAACTGTTGCCATGTTGCCTAGCAACTGGAGCCATGTCCGTGTCAATGCCACAGGGGAACTCGGGAGATTGCAAAGCAACCCTTCTGAACCCTGGTAAGGCGGTTGGAGACGGGGATACCATGCTACGCCGTGTCCTGAATCTCTCTACCCAGAAAAACCAGTCTGTGTAGACACCAGTTCTGATTTCTTGAGATTGATAATCCAATCCGATCCCACTTGGTGAGAGCACTCATCATGGAAAGGATTGCGTGGCAAGCGCTGAGTAGCCAGTTGTCTAGATACAGTGACAACACTTGCCCTGTGCCCTTGGTGATGCCGAATGGGAGCACACAAACCTGATAACACTTCCCGTCCAAGGAAAAAACCAAAGGTATTTCCTGAACTCGGGGAGCATCGGGTTATGAAAGAACACGTCCTTGAGGTCGATTGAGCCTCTACAGATGAGATCACTGATCTTAATGTCTCCATCTTGAAAGACGGAACCTTAGTATAGGTTTGAACTCTCCATCCTTCTTGGTACCCAGGAAATAGGTGGAGTAAAACCCCGCATTTTCCTGCCCCATAGGGACACCTGGATGGTTGCCTCATCCAGCAACGACTGGAATTCAGCACAGAGTGTAACAGAACCCAGGGATTTGCTGTGACTTTCTCCCACTCCCTTGAAATGTGGAAAGCTGACCACCAACAAGGACGCCGGGCAGAAGGCAGTGGATCCCAACGGTAAGCAGTGTGTGGACTGCTTGCACTGGGTCCCCTGCAGGACGGCTCGAGAATTGGAGGATTGCACCAACAAGGGTGTCGAGTCCTTGAAGGTGCCTACTGCCTCCGCGGCCTCCCGTACAAATGCCAATGCCCTTGAAACAACTGGGTAGAACCCATCCGGTAGTGCAGTCACATAAGCGCCTGTTGCGTAGCCAGCTAAAACTGAGCAACAGGCAGTCAGAGTCGGCACTTGCTATCTGGCTAAAACATGAACCTGATAGCATCATGCGCCAGATGTGAGTGGACATCCGCCAGTTGCCACACAGGTGTGGCGTATGACGTGTCATCCGGTGGGCAGTGACATGGGTGCCTGTTGCGTAACTAGCGAAAACTGTGCAACAGGCAGCAGCCAGAGTTGGCACTCATCCTTGCCTAGCCGAAACTAGGAAGTGCCCCGCCGAACCCTTGACAGTGACCGCATAGATGCAGTCAACTACCACGGGGGGTCTTCCCCATCAGGTACCGGTGATTGAGCTCTTGGAGGTCAAATCGTGTCCAAATACTTAAGAGGAGAAGGATAACGATCTCACCCAAGCTAAAGTAAGACGTGGAGTCACTTTACCAGCAGCAAACGCTTCACCATGAAGACGGAACTCCGGGGGATTGTGGCCGACAACCTGAGGCAGACGAACCAAGCAGGAACCCAGACTGCATATGGGGCACCTCGGTGCCCCCGAGCCGAGCAGCGCTAGGGTGCCTGTCGGTTGGGGCACCAGGCGAACTCAAGGTCGAGACCCGAGTTGCCGGCGCCGGGCCTGAACCAGAGGCCAGGCCAACATGAGGTACCCCAGACCCCGAGCAGCTCTAGGGCTCCAAGGTGTCCCCGAGCCGAGCAGCGCTAGGGCGCCTGTCAGTCGGGGCACCAGGCGAACTCAGGTCGAGACCCGAGTCGCCGGCGCCGGGAACCAGTGGCGGACCTGAACCAGAGGCCAGGCCACCACGAGGTCCCCCAGACAACCCTTCACCGAAGCCGAAGCTCGGATCAGGATGCCCAGGGGGAGGAGTGATCCCCAAGCCTAGGCTCGGGCGCATCCAACCCCCACAGATAAGTCCGATCCATCCCTGACGAGAGGCGGGTTGCTGAGCTCCTGGTGGAGCCCAGACATGGCACTGACTATCAAGGATTTCACCGACGACATCTGTTGCTGCAACATAGCGACAAAGTATCAAAGGTTAATACAGGTGCACTGACACTGACAGATGGAGGTGCAGGAGTGGCTGAGATCGGAGTAGACTCAACCACTCTAGCCCGCTAACTCCCTGCCTCTGTGAAGGCACAGGTGGAAAAAGCAAAACTCCTCTTTTGTTAGGAAGATTTCTTAGACGGGCTTCAACCTACACCTGCAAAAAGTTGGTCACCAATATGTATGCCTGCTTATTTGCGCCTGTTTATTTGGTGTAAAAGCGAGAACGATAGCGCACCCCTGATTGTCATGCGCTTCCGCCGCAAAGCAACTCAAACACACCAGGTGGCAGTACCAAACGTTACAAATAACGCCACAGTGTTGAAGCAGCAACAAACGTTACAAATAACGCCGCAGTGTTGAAGCAGCAACAAACGTTACAAATAACGCCGCAGTGTTGAAGCAGCAACAAACGTTACAAATAACGCCGCAGTGTTGAAGCAGCAACAAACGTTACAAATAACGCCGCAGTGTTGAAGCAGCAACAAACGTTACAAATAACGCCGCAGTGTTGAAGCAGCAACAAACGTTACAAATAACGCCGCAGTGTTGAAGCAGCAACAAACAGAACCATGCCATTTTACTAGCAGGTAGCTGTTGACAGGGTATGGATATATACACAAGCAAACAGCAAAAAAATACAGTGCTTGGGCAATATTAAATGCTAATAGCCAAAGCAATTTAACACGCTAACATGTAAAGCAGAATAAGTGCTATGCTATATAGCCTGCGTACTGTATAGAGAATGAGCAAAACAAAGGTGATACGAAACGACCCCGATTACGAACGCACTCATTGATGACTTACCGTAATTTCGCTGAAAACGACTGACTGACTGACTGAGTTTAGTTTTATGCCGCTTTTAGCAATATTCCAGCAATATCACGGCGGGGGACACCAGAAATGGGCTTAACACATTGTGCCCATGTGGGGAATCGAACCCGAGTCTTTGGCGTGACGAGCCAACGCTTTAACCACTAGGCTACCCCACAGCCCCTCGCTGAAAACGAGAATATTAGGGCAAGCCCACTATATAATATGAAAACATTATATAGAAACACCCGACCATAGAGTAAGCCTAGCACTAACAATAATAAAGGAAGGGAGAAGAAAGCCTGTGGTCAGCCATCTTGCCTGTCACATGGCAGGAAAACAGACGACCCACCAGCATAGTTACAACAGTTCATGAATGAAAATACTTATATATGAATTCCATCTAACGCCCGTGCGTAAATAAAGGAACCATACATACAGTATTTGATTCTTATCACTCATCTTCGTAGGGACAGGAAAAGATTCCTGAGAATGAACACACGCACGTCCTTCCTGAGAAAAGACAGCATGAAAAGTGAGGTACGAGGTAGATGGCGAGAGTTACCTGTTCTTGGCTGTAGGGGTCCCTGGGGGGCCCTGTAGGGGTGGTCTCACAAGACAAAAACAAGTTTTTTGTTTTGTAAATATTTATTATTAAAATATTGTTACAACTGTCGTAGGATTTTAAAATGGACATTTTAATGCTTATATGTACACCAAGGAGGACTTCTTCTGAAAAAGAATCTCAGGTTGTCTCTGTATAACTATGGCAACCATATACAATGCAACACTTGAGTAAACAAATACACGACAGTATGTTAAAGTTATCTGATCACCAGCAGTGCCAACATGCCTGAGCCTACATGTCAGTGATTCCACAGATGTCCTTGATTCAGAATTGGACTAAATGAGTACATACTGCCTTACAAAGAATACATATCTTTCAGCTAGTCACAGCAGCTAACTTAAGATAATAATCTGGATCCACATGTACGGACACACAAAAATATTCCTTTTCTATAATTATCTATTTCCAGTATTGCTGAAGACACAAAGACGCTGTAACATAAGGCACCAAGTCTATTACCTGTACTTGGCAGTGATATATTTTCTTCTAGTCCTGTCCGTCGTTTTGCTGTCTCAGTAGTGCCAGGAATTGTTCCAGGTTTAAAGTTATTTTTGAAGACTTTAGCTTTGATAAAACACCAGGCTTTACTCCAGGCTAAACTGATGAGGTGAACACTGCCTGAAGCTCTGCAACAAACAACAATCTGAAGTAAGTGAAAAGTCTGCAACACTCCAGCTATACAACATCAACTTGTCTGGGCAAGGTCAGACAAAATAGCTGGGGCAAGGTGACAAGCAATCAAACAATGTGCTCAAAGCAGAGTGTGGGAGAAGAGAGATTTATAGATGCCATCTTCTGTATTATTAAAAAAAGAAGATGTTTCAGGGGATTTTCTTACTCATTCATTTACCTCATGGAGTAAGAATTTATTCCGAAAAACACTTTTCTCATAATACAAAAGTTTACATCCACAAATGTCCCCCCTTTATGTGCATCACTTCTATATGCCATTCAAACATTAGGTCATACACTGTAACTGGTGTATTCTCATTAGGGCTGCAACAATTCGTTTGATTCATCGAAAACCAAATCTGACACCTTAGTTTTGATTTTCAATAACCATTATCACTATTTCGATTTGATATTTGAATATCTATTTAAATTATGTCCACACAGCGAGAACGTAATTTGGACTCCAAGTCAAGCAGTTTTGAATGCTGAATAAGGCAAAACGTGATTGGTTGAAGCTGGGCTAATTATCCAATGAGGATTGTTGCTAGTAGACATAGCCAAGTTTACGGTGGATTTCACGCTAAGGAAAGTTAAATGAAATCTGATGTTTTTACTTGTATGAAGAATCGAACTGAGGGTCCAATATCGAAAATCAAATCGAATCGAATCAAGGTCTGGTTGAATCATTGCAGCCCTAATTCTCATTAGCCTGTTCCTAGTTGCGCATCATCGAAATCTTCTGTCTAGGCTTCAAAACATATATTAAACTTCTAACATCCAGCAAAGTTCAAATTACTACACATTTTTGGGATGCGAAACCTAAACAAAAACTATATTACCCCAGTTCCTACTAGAACCATAAACATTCGACCACTCCTCTATCTGAATATCAACTGTACAATCCCACAGACAAGCAGGTACAGGGGGCATTCCTGATACCCTGCAGCATGCCTCACAAATATTAGACTAAAGGGGCAGGTAAGAAGCGTACTCCCCAATGACCTGAAAATGTAATTGGAATGCACACTAATCTGTTTACCGAGGTAAAAATGTCCTAGATATTCAACATATCTTTCTGAAGTAAGGCCTCTCATCACCACAAGCCTGCTTAGAACTATGAGTATGTGAGTATGATTTTACATCTCTTTTAGCAAATATTCAAGCAATATCACACAGGGTTCACACCTTTTACCTATGTGAGGAATTGAACCCAGGTGTCAAGGATGATGACTGAACACTTTAACCACTAAGCTAACCCATCGCCTCCTTCCAACTGTGGCTACAGTCACGTGATAAATGTTCGTATACAAGCTGGTAGCGTGCATACTCACAAGTACATGATGATCCCGAGTAGATAGAGAAGAAGAGTTAGCAAGATGGACACTGTTCGATGAAGGCCACTTTTACACCTCTCACCTAGGTAGCTCACCCACTCATCTGAAACAGTCAAAATTATAACATACAATGACATCAGGACACTCTCTGCCTGGCACGTTTACCTTTATCACACATGACAAGCATACAAGCACAGTGAACCTAAACAACAGCTGGCTCACCTGTATCACTGTCAGGGTCTGTTTTAACATGTTTAAGTAACTTGGTGCAATTGGCACCAGGTTCATGCTGACATGAAAACCATCGCACAACCAACAAAGCCAGGTTGCACCATAAATTTACCCATGATGGAAATAGGCTGGTCTGCTGCCAGTGTCACATAAATTAATGACACATTGCAGTAAAAATATGGGAACATGGGTACATAATCTTAAAGAACTGACAGTTTGACGATGTCAAGCCTAAGAAAGCATGACAAATTACCTGTAACACGGGGATTAGTAACATTGTATGTAAACTTCCAGGTATTTAGGCTGTTTAAAGGTCTATTATTGTGGACAAGTAAGGCTAGTTATACATAACGACTAATCTTTTAACATGCATTTGCTGCATGTAGACATAAATATAAGATAACATTATTAGTTATAGGTTGCATTGATGCATGTTTTATGTAGCTAAATTGAGCCCAAATTGATAATAAATCTTTTAATCATGTTGGTTTTTGCAGGCATTTTACAACAGTACACCAAGTTGGACAATTTTGTTTTGCAAGATATGTCGACTTTTCTACTAATGTTTACCTATATGATCAGTAGCTTTGAGCAACAATTTCATGCAAGTTGTGATATTACATGATTCTTGAGTAATATCCAACAATATGATATTCATAGAACAACTATTAATCTCAGATTTCTGAAAAGTTACTAATTCTCGCAACCATGAGGCAACTTTTCTAAAAGTGTGTGAAATAAAAATATTGACACACTCTACAACTTCTTGTTGTGCACAATTCTGTGAGAGAAATTCCAATTTTGGTACAATATTTTTTCGCAATCATAAATGTCTTATCATTTTGCTCATATCAACAGAAAACTCTATTTCCTTATATACTACCTTGCATCACATCTGAACTGTACTGATGTGAGCACATTCAGGTCAACAGGTGGAGTTACCCTGACTTCTTGTTGTGACCACTGGTGCAAAACAACTACTGCGATAGTGATAGCGTATACCAGTGTTCACGAATAGCGTCTGACCCTCTGACAAATCCGGCAGATTTGCCAACGGTCTGATAGAAGTCTACAACCCACCGGCCCCAGTGTCTGACTGTATGTTTCACAATGACTTTGACTGAAGTTGTTATATGTGGCATGTAACACTTGTTTCCTGTTTATAAATCTTATGTTTGTTAATAATTTCAATTCCAATTATAAGAAATGTTAAATCTGAAATGTGTGTTTAATTTTATTCTATGGGTCCTTTGAATTTTCAATGGGTCAGACAGACATCTGAAACTTACAGGACCCAATTTCCTGTTACTCTGAAACACTATTAGTGAACACTGGTATACCAAACAACTACTGCCAATGCAATAGCTCTTGTCCTAGTAGTAGTAGTAGTAGTAGTAGTAGTAGTAGTAGTAGTAGTAGTAGTAGTAGTAGTAGTAGTAGTAATAGTAGTGAGTGAGTGAGTGAGTTTAGTTTTACGCCGCACTCAGCATTATTCCAGCTATATGGCGGCGGTCTGTAAATAATAGAGTCATGACCAGACAATCCAGTGATCAACAGCATGAACATCGATCTGTGCAACTGGGAACCGATGACATGTGTCAACCAAGTCAGCGAGCCTGACCACCTGATCTGTTAGTCGCCTTTTGTAGCAAGCATAGTCGCCTTTTGTGGCAAGCATGGGTTGCTAAAGACCTATTCTACCCCGGATCTGCACGGGTCAGTAGTAGTAGTAGTAGTGCAAAATGTTACACCGCTCTGTCCTAATATATTTTCTTGAGTTTGATGTGCATACCAATCTACAATATGCTCAATTTTTGGAAAATATCAGAACAGTTTCAAAGTATAACAAAATAGAACTCAAACACCATAAGTAGAGATACACTTTTTGTAACTTGACAGTGACACTATAATGTAGTGCTACATGCCCAATTGGACAAAACTTCAAAACTCATTGTGGCATGTTTCATGCACACACACCTCTAAACATCTGTTCTTTCCACAATATATTATCAAAATACCATTGATAGTTCATGTTGAATTTGATGCTATTGATGTGTTGTCACAAAGTACTTTCAATCACAATGTATCGATAGTTCAATCAATTGTTACACCATTAATTACAGTACCACACAACCTTTCATGTTCATAGGAATTCTTCCCTGTCAGTAAAGCTTACCATGTAACGTGTCTACAGTATAACATTTGAAACAATGATCCAAAGTCCAGCAAAATCACTCTCTACTCTGCAATCTAGGTAATGTGTGCTGTTGACATGGTTTGTCATGTACAATAACCCTACAACCAGTCAATGAAAACTGTAACCATCTTACAAGTTCCCCTCTCACAATTGTAGCATAAAATCTAATATTAACCCAGGAATTGCAGTTTGAAAATAACTTGACTTACACATGGATTGGGAAAGGCAGGGGCCATGGGCCATTTTGCACATTATAATAAAAAATGGCCCATTAGAATTTTGAAGTTTACTATTGATACAAGGGCAGTGGCCCATTCTAAATTCAGAAAATGGCTAATAATCCTGAAAATGGCCAATTGTCAAAGTTTTCTATCCCAATCCCTGCTTATATATTTCCATGAAATGATGTCCCTTAATTACTTGCGATCTAATAATTACTGTCACCTGACTCACCCCAAACCTTTCTGTCGATCGCTTCATATGACCATAAACCTCACTACCGATACAACATGTAACCAATAGCAAACTACTACAGTTGAAGCATCTCACACGATCATTTCCATATTATATCCCAGACCCTGAACATACCTCCTTCCATACATGAAGTCATAGTAGCCAGCCAGGCAGCCACTACACTGTACCACTACCAGCCATAGTAATAACACTGTCAGCTGTGTCTCGCCACAATCAAAGTGAAAGTACAGACTGAATAATCAATACTCATAAGACACGCAATCACTATTCTGTAATCACTGTTAATCTGCCTTCATATCTGGGTATGAACGAGGGCAAAGGCCTTAACAGAGAGAAAAGATAAGTTTCATACCTACATTTCCATAGATCATTTTTCATGCTAAATTGGTCAACCTTTGGACCTCACTGCTGATCAGTGAACATTGTAGTTTCCTTGTCCCTTTTGTTGCCGGTATAGGATGTAGAGGGACTGTAATTTTGTATACAGCAGGAAATACCACGCAAATGAACATTCACAATAACCAGAGCATTCTTAAAAATGCTCATTTCTTTATGACATATGAATGAAGTGTTTCTTTATCATCAAAGCAAATAGAAAGCAGATTTTTGATGCAATATATCAACATGTCGACAAATTGTTTCTGAAATTATCTTTTGGATTATCTCTTCGCTATATGAATTGTCCCAAAATATCTGGCATGTTTAAAACAATAAGAACAATACTGTTTTCAAGTCATGTCCTCTTTAACACATTGAACCATTCTTGACTACAGTGCAGTTATCTCCCTTGTGCTTACAAAAACAATTTGATACACAATATATTTTCACAGTAAATGAGTACAGTAGCCTACTCAGGCCAAAACTAGGTCACATCATATTTTGCATGTGATTAACTAGCGCATAGCCAAGTAGACAGTGCAGTCTCCTCATTATTGGGTTAAACTTTTCAACAAATGTCATGTATTTCAGGGTTTACATGAAACTAAACTGAAATATATAAATGCATCATGTCGTCAACATCTGACATGCTTAACTTGGTGCTCTAATTGCTCATTTGAATCAGCTCCTCTAACCCCACCTACCCCAGATTATTACAATTCATTATGTTGACCATGGGTGCATGCTCGGCTAGCTGACAAACAAATGCTTTGAGTTACTCCTTCAGTCCATATTGTACCTCTCCCCCATTGTTCATCATGTTAAGCTATAACAGGGCTTGAGATGTTTGTTTTGCCAATTGAATACTTACATGTGATTTTGTTAATCATTCTCAAATGGTACGCAGCATATGGTGTACAGTGTACTGCTGAGGAAGCAGCCTTTGGTGCTTGATATCAACGCTCAGCAGGACATCTGGCACATTCATGTGTGGGTGTATTTCATGAAATTATGGGACAAAAGTAATTTAAATCTCTTGGCAGATCTGCACGATATTATCGGAAAACCTTTATAGCACAATATGCTTTCCAAATCATACGTATTGTAATATTTTTTATTTCTGAGAACCGACATATTGGGTTAAAAAACATACATGGAATTTTGTTATTAAGTTTATGGTTTAAATTACAATCTACACAGACGTTCATTCACAACAGATCTTTTCCTACGTTATGCAATGATTAGACAGCAAACTGTACATGTTATAACTTGTATAAAAAGGAAAATAGAATACCTGACTTTGCAACCTAAATTTTAGAAAGGCAGAAAACTGAGAAAGAAAAATGTCAATGAACCTGGCTTCACTTCCCTGACAGTTTCTGGGCAGAACACTGTTTGTGTATCTATAAGACATTTTCAAAGCAGTGAGTCAGTGGACATTTTCCACAATTATGCATCAAATTCTGTTTCAGTTGACTTGTAGTTTGCACCTGCTCTGTGCTGCCCCCAAGTGACACTCACAACAGTGCTACAGATCTAGGTTACACTATGCAACGACAAGCAAGCACATGAAACACAGCAGAGTTACTGTAATCTGTGCATGTGGTGCCTGTCTTGGATCATTAACTAAACATCTGTACAGAAACACAACCTTACAATGCAATATTTGGTAATTGGCACTCTACACGCCACTTTAACTGCAGCAGTGTTGATGCAATTTATGTATGTGATTCCTGTTTGGGATCAGTAACTAAATACCTGTACAGAAACACAGAAACACACGCTCAAAATGCCACAGAAATTACACCGTACACCAGGATATA